CACTTCTTAGATAAAATACACTGTGCTTTTTATCGCTATCTCAGCGCTGCTAATAATACGACAAGAATGTAAAGGGTATTGTTAGTGTGCAGCAAAAGAAATGATAGTATAATTACAGCGAGGATTATAACTACGGTATGAATATGAAGTATAAAAGAATTTTTTTTGTGCTAGCTGATAAAACACCGACTTCTGCACGATGTCCGCCATGATGTATGTCCGGAAGAAACACAAGTTGTTACCACCGGACATTATCATTATATATCCACCATCAGCATCGTGTATAAAAGAGCACTCACTGAGTGAGGATGCCTCATTCGAGAAGATGGCTCGCTGAGGAAGACCTGGCTCGACACGAAGGCGAAGCTGCAACGTCGAGACGAACAACAATCATGGACCATCGACTCGGACCATCGGCTCTGAGGAAGACGAAGACGTCGAAACGTTAGCTGAAAATAAATATATTTATCAACCTCGTGCAAGCTTATCAAGAAAGAATACACATGAAAGAATTCTCGAGAAAGCGACGTTTATTGGTGAAAGCAAGCACACATAACTCATCTACTTCCATAGAAGTCCTTACCTATAAGTAGAAGAAAGGTGCTTTTAATTATCCGGTAGGAAGTGGCATTAGCTAATTAGACAAATATGAATAAAGACCTCAACAACAACCAGATTCTCATTTATCATCAACAATAAAATGACGAGAATTCCTCCGTTTGAAGTGCGACATGGATAAATAGCACGGAAATATACTGGAAGTCACAGTTTACACGTACTTCTTGCAAACCACTTCACATCCTACTTTCAAAAGGAGAAAATTCCAGACTAGTTGAGGACATCGAGCACGGTCATCCAACCCATGATAGGTGACCGAAGGAGTACTCGTAACTATCGTCCTATACGCTTATTGAGTGTACTCAATAAGCCCTTCGTGAAGTAATCTTCGTCACATATCAAGGACAATGGCTGAGGCGCAACCAGTTGAGAAGCAGGATTTAGACAGGGATTCTGCTGCATGAGTATGGCCAAGGTCATTCAAATTGGTCGGGAATACCACGCGCCACTACTTCTCACTTGGTCGGCTATGGAAAACCGTTTGATAGTGTCGAAACGAATGCACACCTACTAGTGCTCGCAGACAAAGGAGTGGACCCATTCTACATAAGAACTCTGACTGACTATTATTGGAAACGTACTACGACAATACAGCTTTTTCTTCGGCTCCTAAGCACACCCATAGGAAAAGGGGTTCGACAAGGTGACACAATATCGCGAACGTTTTTTAGTGCTGCATTGCAGTGGATAATAAAGTCACTCGATTAGAATTAGAAAGACATATATATTGATAGAGAATTCCTACCAAGTCTTCCCTTCGCTGACGACATCGTCACCTTCTCAACAATCATCTTCTCAAGAATTACCAGAGAAGAAGAGGCGATGATCAATGAGCTCAACGAAACGGGAGAAAAGATCGGACTAAGCATATAAATCTGAAGGAAACCCATTTTAGGAACCCATAGTACGAAAGCAATCAGATCAAGCTGGTTGGCTCGTTGATTACAGACACAACCTCGTGCGTATACCTTGCACATCGAATAAACGCGGAGAACGACATTAAGAAGGAACTAGACAGAAGGAGAACACTCGGCATTCGGGCCTATGGGAAAAGCCGCCTGCCAACTAAAGTACCCGAAAATCCACACTCACCTTTTCGATCTGACAGTCCTCCCAGCGAAACGACAGCCGATGGACAATAGCCTTGACTAAATGTATTCCTGAGATGTCAAACGCACAACAGGAAGATTATCAATTAGGTAGTCATGGGTCTTCACGAAGACCGTAAAAGTAAAATATGGAGAACAACGAGTCCACAAAGCGAGCAGAACTCATTGGCCACTCTAGAACACGATAGGGAGAAACGGAACCGTTACTGACACCTGCTTGGGTCACTCGACGATCAACGGGCGACAGTTGATGCAGGTGATGCATCAACCACCAACAGGTTGAAAATTCTTCTTAAAAGGAGTTCCATGGTTGCCATGGCTTACCTGGACACTTAGATTGCCCATTTTCATATGTCATGCAGATTTCAATATTTATTTGCACTGATTCCTATGTATTCATGTCTTTATTCATCTCTCATCCGCTGGGTTGTCATGTGGATCCAATGTGGGTTGAGAATGCGAAAATTTCTTACTTCAATGAGTATAGGTGCCCACTCATTTCTGCCTAGCCGATACGCTTATTCTTCTTTTCTAAAATAAATACTCTTAGAAGTGGCGTAACCCTTACAGCCATAGCACGGCCATCTCAATATCCCACAAAAAGCCACCCTTAACCAGCATATAAAATGTCAATAAGATGACAGAAGACAAGAAGGCAAACTTTCAAGCTTCAGTGGGACTCATATATTACTCCAAGCACAACGGATGAATACACATGAGTGAAGTACTTACTTCTGCATAACATATGAAAATTTACCATCTAACTGTCTAAGTGAGTAAGTAAATTTATCAATATCGCACAGTGGCACATGCATTCCAATTACTCATGTTGTTACGTTCTCCAAGTGGTAAAAGGGTTATTAGACGTAGACAAGAATCGACCTCGTACCAGCTTACCATTTATTTTTATTTCACGAAACCAACCTTCACATCTGCTGTGCGGACCCCAGCGCTTCCTTCAGGTCCATCATACACGAACGTCGTAGCCGTTTTTGCGTGCGTTTTCGCATGCTGCTCGAAGTTCGCCTTAGGTAATAAAATCGTTGGAGGATGATCGAGTTGATTCTTCTTGCGATGCTGGGATAGCCCAGCCAAAACGTTCCCACCTGAATTGGAGGAAGTGAGCTAGTCCCAAGTCTGGCACCAATCTCCTAACTCGGCATGGGACGGGGTCTAACATTTACGCTTTTGATTAACGGTATCACTACAATTGCGCTACCCACCCATATTTAAGTGAACACATTCACAAATACCGATGCACATGCGAATTGTATATTCTATGTCGGTTTATCAAAAACCCTAACAAGTGGCAGAGAAATGCAGAACCAGCCAACATCTGGTAATTTGTGACTTGGCTAACATTGCACCACCTTCGTCTTCTTCAGAGACGTAACCATTCAAGTCCCTAGGTCGCATCGATTTGAATTCAGTGAGCCGGAGCACCTCTCGAACTTTGTAGCAACCTCGTGTGAACCGAACTAACCAAAGAAGGCAATAAGTTCGTGAACTTTTTTCTTCTGAAAGCCTGAGTTTCAGCAATCCGTGCATATCTTGTGAAGCATGTTTTATGCTCTGGTGACTGGTGAACACTTCCTGCCTTAAAATGCGCTCCACATATTTCAGGAATGGTACCCTCGTTCTCTTGTTGTACTAGAAGCCTGTATTTTCTCTTGGGCAGACCCGAAGTTGTTAACATAGAATTTACTCAATAATGGTTGACGTTTCTGCGACTCCACCTTCGTAAGATCGTGTAGCCGTCAAGATGATACGCAGTCCACTCAGTTAAAAATGAATGTGCTGGATAAGAAGTTTCATGCCCTAAAAGGCTCAACTACAACTTGTCAAAAAGAAAAAACTGCAGGTCGATGCTGAACGTTGCGCCCTAGTGATTGGGCACAATGGTACTTTAATTCAATTTGTGTCCATTCCCAATAGTTACTCCCAGTAGAAATCTGCCATGGAGTCTTGCTAAGTTAGAAAAAAGGAAACTAACTATGGAACATGAGGCAGCAGTGTTTGTAAGAAAACTAGTATACAAGCCTAGGGATTGTATAATAGCTCAGGTTTAGTTTTAAAGGTTAATAGGATTTCATAAAAGAAAAGGATAAAGCTCTTGGCGTTGATCAATTTCCGAGGAATGCGCCATGCATTCGTGTTCATTAAGCATCCTTGGAAGTGATTGAATGCATATCTTGCCTTTACAACGACTCGCGGTGGCCTACTGATGTGTCGAACCAGCGCTTCTATCCTTAACAAGTCTGGTACCAATTCGCCCATCCCGGAGGGATGGAAGGCTTGATGCACCAGGTGCGCGCGAATCGATCCCATGTGTACTGCAGGGCGCCTTCTACCACTACGACACACGCCCCCAAGGATTTCATAGGTCTCACAGATATAGGCTCAATCGGAATTCAAATTCTTCGTACACCACCACATCCGCCTTCCCATTACTCAGCTGTCACTTCCATCGTTAGCACTACCCACTTCAGTTTTCACAGTGGGTCCCGCCACGAGGAGATTGGTCTTTCGCCGGTCGTTCGTCGAGTGGAGCGAACTTGAAATACAGAGAAGAGTGCATGTCCGTGAATACTTCGCAGTACTTTGCTTAGTTTCGCACTATAAGGGGAGTTTCTTTTTCTTCAAGCTACTCTTATGTGTATTTTACTAGTTCTAATGACTTTTTAATAATTCGCATGACCGACTTTCTGTTAACCTCGGCATTGATTGATAATTCGATGTTTTTCTTCAATAAGCAGACACGAGGTTGTTATTATAGAATTTATTAGAATACAGTAGCTGACGTTTCGGCGGTTTCGCTTTGCTCAGAGCCGTTTATTTGTTTTAAGCATTTAAGTTAGCTGACGGATAGCAGCCGCACAGTAATACATGGGCGATTGCTATCCATCAACTAACTTAAATACTTACAACAAATAAACGATAGGTGTTTAAATGAAGCTGTTTCTTATGCGAACGCAAATTTATTTGTTATTTATCTGCTAGGGTTATGAAAGCGTTTGGCTGGGTAGATCGCATCTCACTTCGACCTTTCCATGCTCCGAAGAAGACGAAACTGCCGAAACATCAGCTATTGTATCCTAATAAATTCTATAACAACCTCGTGTCTGCTTATTGAAGAGAAACATCGACTTTTTAATAGTTCGTAAAATAACACTTTATACAAATGAAGCTGGAAACATTGAAAACTAGACGAAAGACTTCTAAGCGACCGAAGGTTTTCTTGTGTTTGGGATGCTCAAGTGGAACTACTTCAGAATGCAGTTCTTCATTGTGGTATTGTTCAGTACCCCTGTGGTGATGGCTTACGATGCCGTAGTTTTCTCGAACGATCAACAAGTGACGTAAGTAATAACATTATTGATTCTTCGCTGTTACAGAAGTTGATTTGTTGTGCTTTCTTTAAAGAACATCTGTTTTCACATCTGTTCTTTCTCACTTTCGTTAAGTCTATGCCCAAATGATGGTGTTAACTGGAGTCTTACGATGTTCACTTGCACGTGGTTATCGTCGTTCGATGAAAACAGATGCAGTTAAATGTTTATAAATGACCAGTCAATACTTATTGATTGTTTGAATAAGAGGTCTATGAGTTCGACAACCCATTTAGGAAGGATTATCCAACAATAGAAAACTTGGTGTTTACCGCGTCTGCCAGTTCACCGCTTGTCTTCATAGTGAATCCCGATTTCACTCTTGGTCTGTTTGTCATCTTATGACGTCACTAATTTTTTCCATGTTGCTGTTTTAGGAAATCGATTTAATGTCATCGTACATCTAGTTTCGCACTGACTTTTACCATTAATTATCGAGCAGAGACCTATTTTAGGGCAGTTTTCAAAACAAGCATTGGCATTCTCATTAGGGAGTGATACATCAGGGCTTCCAGCAACTGTCAAATCCTCTTCTTACCACTCCGATCGTTATTACAGTGATGTTATCCGTGTACGTTTTGTTTTTTTTTATGTTTTAGTTTTCGCTATAATGAGTGCTACATTATTGGACAACATTCCAAGCGTTAGCCCTTTTCACATTGACTTAAACATGATTATCAACGAAAGAAACAAGAATTGTGCGTTGAAAAGTAGTATTTAAACTGAATATCAGTGGTAAACCTTCCATCGGTTTACCTCGTCACCGTGGCTGGGGGTGTTCCTGAGTGTCGGGCTGCTATGTACAGCGAGGGAATTCACCTCCCCAGCATGGTGTCCAAAGGTAAGAAGAAGTCCAGCATTTCTATCAGGAAGTCCAGCTAAGAGCAAACCACTTGTAGGATCCACCACCATCCTGGTATTAAACTGATCACGTAATGGTAAATCTCCCTCAGATCCACAAGGGCGGCGACTACCTATGGTGGTGACGACCTGAGGCAGACTTTGGCCAAGCTGACCTGAGAGCTCTAGAGAACCGGGGAACTGTTTCGCACGAGGGTAGGGATGGCGTGAGATAACAACTGTCCATGGAGTAATTTCCATTGTTTTTCATTTGGTTTCTGTTTATGGAAGGTTGGTTACAAGAGACAGAGCTGGTCCTTCTACCCAACAATTGACATACCCAGTAACGGTAGTAAGCACGAATTCTAACATCTTGTTTTTCCATGGATCCTTGCGCATCCACGAATAATCCGGTTGCTGCTGGTTCCCAAGAGGACGGACGTAGTGTGGCCGTTAACTATCATCAGAGTCATCGTAACTTTCCAACTAGATATAAGGCTCTTTGTCGATTAGAACAAAGCAAAAACATTAATTTGAGAGCCATTAATTGAACACTATTGATTGGCCCGAAATTACTAGCTGTGTTATTCACTGCGCTTTTCTTTAACTTAATGGTTGTTTCGTTCCAGTACGTTCCCACGAAATAGTCGTAGGCATCTGATGGACGATGTAAATTAGGGAGCTTTTGGATGCTTTTCCTAATAGCTTTTTTCTAAAATCCAGTGGTTCTCTCCTTAAATAGTTTCTTACCTGAGCTTCGTAATGCTAACATCTTAAATTGGTGCGACAAAGGTTTTGTTATACGTAGTAGTTAGAAACCGAAGGTAACTTTGCTATCTAACAGTACTATGCAATAAGTAATTTTCTTTATCATCTTCTTCATTTTCCTTCCTTCTTCCTCATTATGGTGAAGTGCTTATTTTTAGGTTCCTGATGCTGTGATTGTAAAATCAAGTGATGATTTCGTTCCTAACGCAAATGTTTATATTTTGGAAGGTACAGAGTGGGCCAGTATGGAGCTACTTGCTCAAGAATTTCTTCCCCAATTGGGCCGTACTTACACCGCAATTATAACTGCTACCGAAGGAGTGTCGACAAGAAAAGTACGTTAATTCTTTAGTGTTCTTTTGACTATTTTGTGGTTCTGTTATTCAGGATAGAGTGAAACGAGTTGCAACATCTGAAATGGTGGATGATGCTTCTTCAGGCGTCCAGGAATCTGGAGGTGCTTCAAATCACCTTTTGCTCCTTCCATTTATTCCTTTTCTTTTTTTTTTGTTATTTATGCAACGTAAATCTAAAGTTTCTCGTGGAAAAGAAAACTCACTGAAAATTTTTTTCGAACAGGTCCCGATGTTAAGATGCCTATGAATTTGCCACCATATAACAGGACAGAATATCCTAACGTGAAGCCGTTGAGGTAAATTCTGTTTTTGTACTTTCTTCCGGTCCTTAAACAAGAGTTCTCATTTTCCACCTTCTTTTTGCACGATTTCGTTTTTGCTGGGCTAACATATTGAGACTTAATATTGGATGCAGAAGTGTTTCTTTTATAAAAAAGAACCTTTAGTAATTTTCATGTTTACTCTGGCGTGTTGGTCCAAACTGATTTTTGGCTATTTTATGAACTGTACTTTTGAGCTGTTAAACTACCTTAGTGAAAATAGTTCTGTGTGCCAAATTCTCCCAATTTAGTGCTGGGTTAGGGTCGTGCCTGCTTTACCTGGAAGGTGTGAACATTGTGGTGCAAAATAGCAAGAAAATGTTCGCCACTATTCCAATTCGCTCTATGGTGAACACGACAACCTGGTAAATTTCAACGTTTTGTTGAATGAAGATGGTAAAATTATATGCCTCAATCATAGGAGCTATGCTGATGGGGATGTCAAGTGCAGCAATTCAACGACAGGAACTTACACGTTTGTTTTATTTCCTTACATATGAGCCTCTGCTCATCTATGGCGTTAGCGATATGTGCTGAAGCATTTTCTTTTTAGTTTCGTCGTTCGTTTGAAGCTTAAAGGTGATGTGACTGATGCCAAACAGCAGATTAAAATCAGTTCAGGAAGTCAGGTGATATTCAAGTGCGTTTTTAACAACTTCCTACTTTTATTTGTCACGGTGATGAATTCTTTCACTTACGGACTAGTCATCGGTTATGTTTTTGCTGCCTACATTTTAGAATTTGTTTTCCTGTTTACTTACTTCGATACTTGGTTTGCTCGTCCTCACTGGTTGTGTGAACCCCAGCATGGTCTTCGATTCCCCGAAGTTTTGCTCGTTTAGCCATCGTGGATCCCTGGAGCCTCGAGGTGGAGCTGCCCAAAGCCCGCCTCAGTACGCCATCGCTACAGGCGGTCACCGCCGCTCCCCTCGCACTCTCTGTATTAGATTTCTTGTTTAACTTATTGTACAAAACTAACACATTGTTTGATATTACGTCTCGTCATGATATTTTCTGCAATTTAATGGCAACGTTCTCTATTTCAGGCCAGATTTGCACGTATACAAACTGGATTTTCTATTCATTTTATAAGTTATATGAAGGTTTTCATATTTTTAGGTGATCACATAGTTTTGTATATATTCAGACTTGTTTTTACGGCAACTTCCGCGGGATACTGGGAACTGTCTGATGTCGAAGTACATAATGTCATTGTTGAACCTATCAGTGAATCGGGTCACAACTTCATAAGCCATGCAAGTTTTTCTTTTCTGTGAAACTTCAGTAATAAGGCTAACAAAAGGTGATAAAGCAAATAAACAGAAAAGATGGAACGAGCATGAGCACTCTTGATTTCGTGTTTAATTTCCAGTCAGCAAAGGCTGAAAGCAAGGCCATATCTGCTTCTGTTGGCAACGTTGGTTTCAAAAGTGTAGTAGGCTTCGCTATGGCTTGTAGTGACTCACAGGCCGCATTCTTCAATACCGATCAGGATGGTGTGCTCATCGGTATATCACTATACAACACTGAGGTTTGTTTGTGGTCTCAGTTTCAAAGGGCGACTTTCAATTGCTTTATTTTTTCATTCTTCTATTCGTCTGTGGAGAACTTTTCGGCTGATATCGTGTTCACATCGTGGGCGGCAGTCATATTAATACGTTTACGAAAGTGTACATTGGTTTACTTCTCATTCCTTTTCCTCAGATATTTGTGCCATTCACTCTATTAAGAAACCATTTGTCATAGTGAACTTTTTCAGTTCAGGTAAAAACCATTGGAGCTTATAGATGTATAGGAGCATGACGCGAGTTCACTTATCTGGTAAAACGAAAATCCGATGACACAAAACCTTTTTATGCTCTTTTTAGTGAGGGTGGTGTTTTGAACAAGCGGATTTTCGTCCAGTAAAATGCGATAATGTCCACAAATGTAGTTCTTTACCGTTTTTCCGAATACTAATACTTCGTTGGAAATTTTTGAATTTTGAATGTCTTTTAACTTTTTTGAAATATTGGTTCCTAACCAGTTTAAAAACTAAAAGAATGTTTTGGAAAATTCAAATGTAACATTGGGTCGATGGAGGGAAGTTTTTTCTTTAAATGTATTAAATTTTGTATTCTCCACGTTCTTAAGTTATCGAAGAGTCATCGGCACTTAGAAGCCAGTACTGTCGCAAATATGTTAACATGCAGCCTACTAGGTCATTTGTTTTCATACCTTTAACGAAAAGTCCGGAATCTGGACTTTAACAACATTGTAAGTTATTGTCTCATCTAAACATCGACTTTCTGTAAACTTCGGCATAAATAATCAATATATTTATTTAGATGTTTTTTATGAACTGGTCTTGTTGAACTGATTCGAGGTTGGTATAAGTTTTCGTTGTCGTCGTTGCTGTTGGTGTTGTTGGTCGATGGCTGACGTTTCATTGATTTCACCTTCCTCAGAACCGTGCTGTTACGAGTGGTACTTCCAGCACGACTCTAAGGAAGGCTAAATTGTCGAAACTTCAGCCATCGACTAACAACAGCAACTCTCGCATCAGCTCAACAAGATCAGTTCAGAAGAACGTGTAAATAAATAAATATACTATCTGATCATCTACCACTTTGTTATCCGCTTTTTTCACGTGATATATGTGCTCATATTTTTTCTATTACTACCTTATTCGTTGTTGTTGTTGTTGTAACCTACTGATCTATGGCTTCAATTTAAAAAGCGACTTTATTTTCAACTTTAGTATATCTAATTCTTGGTTTGATATAAGGATATAAAATTGCGTTCACTAAAGCGATTTGGCTTTTCGAACTAACCCTTTTAGATTCAAACTGTTGCTGTTTATCCCGATCCTAAGACGAAACAGATGTACTTCACGAGACAGGTGGATGATTGTATTGGAACATTTTCAACTGGATCATGGATGGGTGAGGATGCAAAGTTTGTCAGTTGGCAGTAGATGGGCTTTTGGTTGATTAATTAGATCTTATTGAAATCAATTTCCATGCCTTTTTCAACTCTGAAAAGTCGTTAATATGAAGTGTTCTTTTTATATTTTTTTAATATCTAGAGCTATAGATCTATGTAGTTAAAATGTGGATCTAAGAAAAATAGGCGTAATTCTTTTTAAAAAACGCTTTAAGTTAAGGTCGTAGACAAGTGCAGTGCAATTCTGAGTGTTAACTTCCTTTGTAGTTATTATGGCACTCTTTGTTTAGGAATTGTGAGCACCTTGATCCTGTTGTTTGGTTTTCTCTTTGGATACTTGATGTTGAACTCTGTTCAAACAATGGATCGATTCGATGATCCTAAGCACAAGCAAATCGTTATCAATGTCCGGGAGTAGACCTAACATGAATTCGAGCAGAAATTGCCATTCGTCGTTAAGTCAGCGCTTATGGTGAATATTCTTTAAATGTTCCTTCTTTGTACGACGTGATATATATTAGGTTCTCTCCGCTGTGAATGAAAAAGTTTCTATGTATAGAGATGAGATTCTATCTGTAATTCACTTGTGTTCAAAGATTCCGTGCTGTTTCATTCTAACCAATGAGAATTAGTGTTTTTTTATTACGAGCCATTCCAGTTACCGTTCACGGTAACCACTTTGTTCTAGTGTTCTATACGTGTTGTCGAATGCGCTTGAAATAGAAAATTCTGTGGCTGCGGACACAAAGCCTGTGATTCTGAGCAGTCTTTGGTTAACCTTTGTATAGTGACCTTGCTGATGCGAAAGAAACATGGAATTTGTGTTCATCGTGATTTTCTGACCATTTGATAAATTATACCATTTTGAAAGTAGATATCTTATGAAACTACAGAGGTTTCGCAAAGGTCCAAATGTGAAGGGGTTTCTTTGGTGACATGAAAATAAGTTGGATTTCCACTAGTCTCACCAAGAGTACGGAGGGTCTTACTTATTGGAGATGATTCCTAACAGCCGCTCATGCACTTCTCGGTTAGGTGACTGCAGGTTTTTCCCGAACGGACTGCTAGAATACAATCAGCATGAACGAGAAGACATCCACGTAAGCTTGCATGAATATGCCACCGTAAATACTGAAGGTATCTGCCAAATTGACTCGGCAGAAACAGGGAGCCCCTCCTTGGGGACCACCTGCGTATTAGGAAGGCAAAGGTCGCTTTTGGTTGGTGATTTGATCGGGATTTGGTTTGGACCTCCTATCTACCACTTACGGAAGGGATACGCTTCCTCACGACTAACCGTCATGGCATCCCTCTAGTAAAGGGATCCGTGGTTATCCTATCCCATGAATAGCAGACGGAAAAAAAGAGTTTTTTATCATGAGGATATTCTAGAAAAGTCCGCCTTCCGGATTTGAAGAGCGTCGATCCAGAACTACGAGTTCCTTGTCAACGACCTCAAAAACTGCCCCAAATACACCTCAGTCCTTCAACCGAGATGTCCGTCTCTAACATCAAAGAATCAGTGATTCTTAATTAAAATATTTAATCTTTGGAAAACAGTCGATGGGATCTTCGAAGTCATCCTGCGTGCACTTTACAGTAAAAAATCACAAGGATTATTAAAATTAAGAAAAGTCCTACACAGTTTGGTTGACACTCGACAAGTCTGGTGGAGGCCAGTAGTCCACAAGTAATCCGTAACCAGCGCATGTGAGGAGTACCATTAGTCCCTTGTACTAACCTTTGTCAACCTCAATATTTATCCGACAGCATCGAAATCGACGGTATCCAGTCTGCATCTTCCGACAAAGGCATGGAATCGTCCTGCAAAACCAGGTATTTTTTAAATGATAAGAAGAACAATTCACTCGGTGTTGATCAATCCCTAAGGGATGCGCCATGCATTCGACTTCAATAAGCATCGTTTGAAGTGATTGAATGCTTATCTGGCCTTTACAATGACTCGTGGTGACCGACCGATGTATCTAGCCTGTGCTGTTATTCTCCTAGACAAGTCTAGTCCCAATTCACCGAGCTCGGATGGATGGAAGGAGTGGTGAGGCTGGGGAGCGGGATTCGATCCCATGTGTATTGCAAGGTGCGTTCGCCCACTGAGTCATACGTGCCCAGTATTTTTTGAAAAGGTTAGTTGAAGTTACTTCATTCGAGCGGTGCTTTAGAGGAGTCGACTCGACAACGTTGTGAAGACCCACGTTGCTAGAGCGATCGACTGAGGACCATCGATTGGAATCAATTCAGCTCTGAAGAAGGCCAGGAAGCCGTAACGTGAGCCAGTTGGAAGTTTCAAAAAATCCTCGTCTTAGCTTAATAATCTGAAAGGGGAGGTCAACAGTGACCATTCTCAGATTTGAAGCAACATATCTCAACTCATAGTAGATTTTATTAATTTTGATAGAACTATTAAAATCTACTCTCTGAGTACAGGACAAATCTCTTCCTTTTCACCGATATGAAATTCCCATTCCTTGGAGCCCATGACATATGTTTCTTCCTCTTTATTGCTTCAAGGCCCATATTTCGGACATTAAAGCATACGAACAAGCGGGATTTCGTCCAGAACGACATAATGGTGTTCCACAATGTCTTTTGTATTTGTAGCTGCCAACTTTCCGTTGAAAGTGTTTTAGGAGGTTCTATTCTAAACGCCTCTTCTATAAATCCATAAAGTTATGAACTCTTGAAATCCTCTAATGCTCGGGAAATCACCCTCTGTTATCGAAAAAAGCACCGCTACGAAAGGGCAAGTGCAGTTGGATAACCGTCTACATCGAATTGTTCTCCATCGAACCGTAGATTTTTCGTGAACTAGGTTTTCTTTCGACCTAATCGCAGTACTGTCCTTTCCCTTCCCGTTAAAATCTGTGAAGATCCAACGCTGTGGAATTTCTTTAAACCATAAATTTTTGACACTAACTACTTTTGACAAAGATTTTTCATCAATGAGTATACTGTCTTTTACCTAATCAGGTCATATACAGTAAGTTGGCTTTGCGTCATCGGACCCGTTTCTCTATAGTAACGTTAGACCTATGAAAGCGCTCTATTTTTGCCATTAGTGTTTTTATGTAGAACAGCTTCATTGTCTAGCGGCGCTGGTTCATGACGCTGGTTTATATGTTGTCGAAAGCTCCCTCACAGTCGACAAAGACTAGGGCAACCAGCAGGTGAATCTTCCTATAGAACTCTATGACCTTAGCCACGATTAAGATCTAAACCGGCAGAGAAGTTGTAACCCTGTCTGCTCAACTAGTCAAGCTCTATCCATAGTCCTTGATATCACCAGTGAAACAGAATATTCGCGAAGAACATGCACAGCACGTTAAACGAGCAAATTTGGACAAGAGTTGAGAAGATTCTTCTTAGTTGGAGGACTGCGCAAGATCTTGCACTTGTTCAGTACTCTGGATTAACACCCTTCGGAAGAGAATGTTCTGTTATAGATGCAGAGGATAAAATAGTTTCAGTGACGTGTTATATGCGTGCAGATTCACGGTCCTGTATTTCTGTTGAAGTCCAGAGGTTTGAAGTTTGCTACAGCGTTCACAAGTTGTTGCATTAACTTGTTATCTGCCCTAGAAAGCAACCTTGGCAACGGTTTTCGACGATTTTGATTTGCTATTAACCGGATTTCGGTATCGTCGAGCTCGTTCCAGCCGTAGGAGATCCACGCTTCGGATTACAGTTCGTTAGACAGGAACAAGTGCAGAATAGAGAAACTGAGAAAACATTTGAGGAGTAGATTAAGTGGAAGTGCTCCTGTTCTTCTTCGCTATAACCAACTGAATAAAATCTATCAAAACACTGGAAATCTTATAATCTTGGGTTATTATTCGGCGTAGACGGATTTGCTAACTTATATATGTAGAAATCAATCGAGCACGGAACTCATTATTACTTCTGAGTTCAAATGAGAAACGAATTTTAAAGAACAACCATCAATAGAGGTTATCAAAGATGGGTTTTCAAAGATAGTTTCGAAAATGAGTTCTAGAAAAGGTTTTTAAGAATGAGTTCTACAAAAGGGCTAAACGAAACACGGAAACTGTAACAATCTAATTCTAAAGAGGTTCCTTTGAAGGCGGTTTTGCCATGCATGAGGAATATTTTACTCAATCGGACCACCAGCGGATTTTTATACACAATACAAGAATTAGGAAGAATAAATCATGGAAAATTATAGTCTTAAGAATCCTGCTGGCACAGTAAGGATTTTAATCACATATAAACGTTGAAAGGGCGCATGTGGCGCAGTGGTCGGAGGCGCCCTGAAACGCACACGTGGAATCGATCCTAGCTCCCATGGTTCACCAAGCCTTTCATTCCTCCGGAGTCGGAAAATTGCTACCATACTTGTATGGGAGAATAGCATCACTGGCTCAATATATCGGTAGGCGACCGCGAGTCATTGTAAAGGTCGAATATGCATTCTATCACTTCAAGCGATGCTTAATAAAGTCGAATGCATGGCGCATCCCTCAGGAATTGATCAACCCCGAGACCTCTATCTTTTATCCTTTTATAAACGATGCTTTTCTTAATGGTATCCTATGAAAGCTCCAAAAGTTCTTCAATCTTAAGAAGTTTACATTACGAGTAACGGTAGCTATTCCGATACGACATATGGTTACTGTTGTATCCATGTTTGCTTACTTTATTTTGTTTACTAAAAGACGGCACATAACCACACAGTGACCAAAATAACGGAATGAAGTACTTTTTTTAAAAAAAAGTCGTACAGTATAATCGTACAATTTATAATTGACATTTGCAATATTGTTCGACATCAATAGACTCGCAATTGATCGCTAAAGCCTCCACAGCTTCTCGTTCATTTACTTCATTTGCTTTACTTTCATTTATTTATCCAGCCGATTTTTTAAGCGTTCAAAGGTTTTAGATGTACGAGCGATATGAATCCCTAACTCGTTGCATGAAGAATACCAATGTCCTCTGTGAGCTTAAAACTTATAGTGTATTTACAGAGCTAAAAAATACCCTGTGCATAAAGCCTCATGGATGAAAGTTCGCCCAGAATTGAAATCAATGAGCGCTCACGTTGGTGTTTGCCTAACCCTCTGTACTCACAGCTACACAAACAAATCTTCTCTTAGCTCAGGACATGGTTATGTATTCATTAGACGGAACACGTCCCTAAACGACAACCGTGGTGGAGTGAGTAAAATCACAGCTGTATTGAGTTCTGTACTTCAAAAAGATGGCGCTTACAAGTATTCAAATAAGTCGGTTAGGCGTAAGGTAATCAGCGCTACTTTCTATATAGAGATGTTATAGTGTTTCATAGCTGATGAAATACTGTGAACAAATTTTTCCCGTCTGATAAAATGTCGCCAATATCA